TTTTTAGAAAAATTCCATCCCTCACCAAGTAGGGGATGAAATTCTTCATGTAACTATTTAGAGAACATTGTGATAGTTATATTTCTCAGTCAACTGAAAGTTCAAGTCGACATTGCCGTTTAGTTGGGGGTCATCGTGAAGTGTGAGACGATACAAGGCTGTTTCTCGAGAACCTTTCTTCCACAATCGCTGTTGATTGTTCGAACATTATGTGTAGCCCTATGATACTGCAGCGAGTTGATCCATAGATTACTTTTATTCAGTTAGCCATAAGGCTTTTATTGCTTCTTCGGACATACAATTCGTTGGTTTCTAGTAAAAACGGGTTACAGTTTTACACCATACGAAACATAGTAGTATTCTTCATAAAATTTAAAATCCAGTAAATTAAATGTGAACTTAGTAAAAGTAAATATCTTTCATACCTTGCGCTATATATGAAACGATTCTCAAGGAGTAATCTCCAATAAACTGCAAAAGGAATCATCCATATCGGTTCACAATTAACGAAGATATAGCGCGTCGAAATTTGGGCGGTGCTACAGTCCTTTCAGCGGTGCCAAGTTGACTGTCGGTATATCGAAGTGCTGAAGTGTTTGTACAGTAGGGCTACGATGGCTATCCGAGTACAGAACCAGAGCTCGAAACCTATCCAACTGCAGAGAGGTGTAAGACAGGGTGACGTTACATCCCCGAAACTCTTCACCGCTGCGTTGGAAGACGTTTTCAAGCTACTGGACTGGAAAGAATACGGTATTAACATCAATGGCGAGTACATCACTCACCTTCGATTTGCCGACGATATAGTCCTTATGGCAGAATCGCTGGAGGACCTTAGCACTATGCTCAATGACCTCAATGGTGTCTCCCAACGGAAAGGTCTTAAGATGAACATGGACAAAACAAAGATCATGTTTAATGTCCATGTCACACCTATGCCGGTAGTTGTTGGGAGCACTATGCTCGAAGTTGTTGACGAGTACGTTTACCTGGGACAAATAGTCCGACTAGGTAAGTCCAACTTCGACCGAGAGGTCAATCGACGGATTCAACTCGGCTGGGCAGCGTTCGGGAAATTACGACACATCTTCTCGTCAGGTATACCTCAATCTCTGAAAACTAAAGTGTACAACCAGTGCGTGTTGCCAGTGATGACTTACGGATCTGAGACGTAGTCCTTCACTGCTGGCCGTATGAGGACGCTCAAGGTCGCTCAGCGAGCTATGGAGAGGGCTAGCTTTCTCTATTAATATCCGCATAAAACCAAGTGACCGACATAGCCCAACGGATTAGTAGGCTGAAGTGGCATTGGGCCGGCCATATAGCTCGAAGAACCGATAACCGATGGGGAGAAAAGGTTCTCGCATGGCAGCCTCGTACCGGTAGGCGTAGTGTAGGGCGACCCCCCACTAAATGGAGTGAAGACCTGGTAAGACATGCAGGAAGTCAATGGATGTAGGTGGCTCGGGACTGTGCTTTGTGGCATTACTTGGGGGAGGCCTATGCCAGCAATGGACTTGTGAGGGGCTGTAATGATGATGATGATGATTAGTAAAAGTAGATATTAAGCAATATTTTATAGATCAATGCGCTGAAACCTTAAAATCAGGAAGATTTCACACGCAAACAGTTCGATCTAGGAACGGGATCGCTTGTCGCGAGCTACTTACATCATGTCATTTCGCTTTCTGGCCGGAAATAGCGCGGAATCGATGTGCTCATTATCAAACAATTAACTGAGTAGGTCGCGGGCGTTCGCTTCTATAAACAAGTGCTGAGTCGTGTGCATAGTAATGCATTTGATATGATGACGGCATCGAGCGTGAACTGATCGTTACAATTTGTGTCGTGAACGCTTTCCGACAAGACTTCCTTCTGTCTGTGTGTCAGGCGTTCTAATTTTAAGTTCTTTGAGGTATGGTATAGTGAAACGAAGCTACTTTATTATCTACATGTTGTAAGTTGTATTATTTGGAAGAAAGACGTCATCTTTCTTTGCCTTGTTTATATTTCAAAAATTAAAAAAAAAACGAATTGATAATGCATAATTTAGATAATTGATAAAACTTGAAATGTCGGGATTCAAAAATGGTTGATATTAAAAGTTATACAATTCGTATTAATTAATTACTTCCTGGTTATTTTTAGGCACAAAGCTTGTAAAACCTTACATATATATTCTCACTAAAACGTGTATATTATGTTATAGGTCATGTCTTCAATAGAATGTGATAAACTAACATACAGATCACTGGATGGTAAGTGGATATTATAGCTCATAGACCCTCGAATAAGAAGATAGACACACCAGGACTATGATGGAACGCCTCGTTTCCAATAAAAAGTCTCCTATACTGTTTTTCTCTTTACGAAACACAACAATTTTGTACTGCTATTTTACGAGTTTTTCATGTCCTTGAAAATGTATATCTCAGTAACGGATGTCTATAAATTAAATTCTAAATAAAGCAAGTCCAGACTTTGTTACGTTAATATAGAGCATGTTTTAATGTTAAATAAGTCTATAAAATTGTTTCTGAAAATAAAATAAAAATGGAAACAAAAATAGAATGAACTGCATACAGAAAATAAAAACTACTGTTTACGAGATACAAAAAAGAAATATCCTCCTAGTAGCAAAACGGTGATGTTCGTACTCGTACTATTATTTATTCTGTGGTAATACATAAACTATCTCTATCTCTCTAATCGTGGATGCATTTTTACAGTCTTAAAAGGGTATTCAGTTCGACTATGTTCTTTTTATGTGTATAACTTTTCTATGGGTAAATCGATTTTGTTGATTTTGTTCTGCATCTCGTGTGGTCCCATATAAATTTCATAAATATCTGACCAGTAATTTATGAGTTATCTTTAAATAACTCGTATTCAATTGACTTCGAATAAATTGATTCGGTCATATTGAAGTCCGTTGTGCAAAATTATTAATTTTACCACTTATATACAATATGTATAAATTGCGCTTGGACAAGTATCTAGTCCATACCCGGAATAGTTTTATGTAGGCAATATAAACACTTGTTCCGTTCAGTATTTAAATCCACGACCCTGCAGCGACACAAGAGCTAAAGGAGACAAAGCCTAGCCTGTAATTGTTCATCGGTATTTTATTTCATGGCTCCAGATTCTAGAGTCTAGACGATTGATTGCTTCTGTGCCGAAAAATTGGATACCTAGTACATAAATTTATTAGGTACTCTACCTCGTACTGTAGTTATTATTTTACAAGGTTAATGAAGTCTCGAAAAACGAGTTTAATCTTTTACTATTTAAAACCATTAATGCTAATACGCCTAGATTATATAACTATTCTAGAAAAGATTCTTAGATTGATTTTATTACTTTTATTTCAGTAGTATTCATAAGTGAAGATTATTATTTAATCGATGTAAGAGACCTTTTCTCAAAGCGGTACATATATTAGGGTATCTGTATACCCTTGAGCACTAACTGATTACAAACAAGATAATTATAGTTTGCGACAACTCTGAGAGAACGGAAGAGAAAAATAAAAATTATCTGTTAATTCCTCGTCTGCTAAATAGATTTTAAATACTAATAGTATTATAAAGTACTAATAGTCTTCTAAATTAATTATCTCGGATAAATTAGAATCGATTTACCGCAAACGTTTTTAGTTGAAATAAGATAAAATATTTCTAACTGGTTATAAAACTAAAAGAAGAAAAACTTATTACTAAATATAAAAATAAATTGACCTTATATATTGTGTACTAAAAATGTATAGAATTTCCAAAATTATATTCGTCCCGTTTATTTCGATTCGCAAATGGAACGTAGTTCACAATTAACTTTTAAAGATCGGTGGTCGGTGCAGAGACTGCTCACATACGTCGAACACTGCAAGCCTACTTTACGCTTATCAACTTTATGGATACAGTTAGCGAACGCACTCGCAACTTCCAAACAGCGTCCGAGAGGTCTCTACAACTCTTTATAGTATTACGTTAAATAACTGTAGGACATTGTTAGACTTCGCAAGAGCTAATGGATCGCCTCTGTGCTTAGAACGAACAACTTTTATGGATAAGTACAATTGAGTTAAGAGTTGAAAATAGCACTGCGAATAGCTTTGTTCGTGATGCTTTTAATTTCTTATTGTTATTTAGTGATTTAGAAATAGCAACAACAGTTCTATCTTTACATATATATTATATATGTCTGGATGTTTATTTTTGCCACAGCTAGTAGTACACACAGTAGTAACAGTAGTACAGTGTAAAAACGAAACTATAACATATCTTGTCGAAGATTAGCACACTGATATTTTTTTTAATATATGTACCTCGTTTTTATCATATTCTTGCATTGTTATCCGAATTTGAGCTATATTCAAAATTTAAAGTTTTCAGCTCATCGGAAAGTTAGTTTAAAAGACAGACAGGCAAACAAGAAATCGCCATCTATATTCCTCTTATATAACTAATGCCTCTATAACACTGAAAATCTTGTAAGACGTTTCCTTGCGCCCTCCTTTCTGCCAAGGAGGGTCGCGTTCGTATACGGCTTAGAGATCTCTAGTCAGATCGTTAAGCCAATTCCTAAAAGGTTGGGTTTAGTGGGTAAAAGTCTCCACATAACCACGCAGCCGGCTGCGTGGTATGCTATGAGCATTCCCAACCTCCCTCCCCCGCTTTCCGGAGGGTTGCCCATATTTGCTTCGGGCGCAAAAAAAAAAGACGTTTAAAAGCTGTGTAGTGGCGGTGTAAGAATACCTACTAACCCATATAATCTTGTGGATGTCGTGAAAGGCGACAGAGAGACACTGAAACTGGAATTGGAACATCTTCATGATAGCAACACAAAATTATAAAATACCTGCGTTTGCCGACCCGCAAAATTCTTCCTGATCATTGTTTCCTGATCAAAAATGAGGAGGCCTATGTTCAGCAGTCGAATTTTATAGGCTGTAGGGGTTGGATGGGAAGACCTTTTAAATGTGAAAAAGTTGCACTTACTTGGTGAATCGGCAAGTAAATCGGAGTCATCCTGCGAGGGCGATTTCACTGAGCCTGGCGACAGCTTGACCGGCGCGTGTGGCGATGCGTTGGGTGCCGAGCCGCTGCCCGAGCCGCTCGTCGCGCTGCTCGGTACGCCGCTCGCGTGCGACGTCGTGATTGTGATTTCGCCGTTAGACGCAGCGAGCCTGCACGTGCACACCGATTCCGATATTATTACGAAACAGCTACAACAATGGTACGCTTGTGGTTGTGTACGCAGAGATGATGTCATAAGCTTAATGTATTTGTAGAGAGGCTTCTAAATTCTTGGAATTTGAAATATGATACTAATGTACATTTTTAGTTGAATATGAAATATTATACTCTTAATTTTGTTAACTATCCTTGTAATAACTTATTTATTTATTGTTGTGATTTAATGTAATAAACAGTACGTAATGTTAGAGTATGTACATTTAATCCTTAATGGATTAATATTTCGCCGTAATCCTTGCATGATTATTCTCAGTTCGTTTTTAACTTTGACAATATTTTTTACGCCTTGCTAGTGTATTAAAAATGTTTTCCGTTAATCTGCTTGTGTATTCAAATAAGTAATCAAAGATAAAAGTATGGACGATGACGTAAGAAACAGCTAGGAGCTATATTAAGTAGTATATTACATATTTTCGATACTAAGTGCTAGGACTCCTTCCCGGACCATAGGTCCGTCTATAGAATACTATAATACACAATAGACTGGCTGTCAATCTTATTTTGTACGAGGATAGGCGTCACCGGGAGTACACATACAAGCAATTACGTCGTATTATCAGTTAATCACTACTACAAACCCGATTCGCTGTTTTTATACATATTTATGTGTAAATTGCGTGCAATTTGGCATTTTCTAAATAATTTGCATGCGAAATTTGAAAACGATTGTAACGTCACAACACATCTCGTGTTGACATTTATACGTGTGAATTGACGTTTTAGTGACATTTTAGTGGCTACACGGGCTCCGCCCACTCCCGCGTTCTATTATGTATGTATGATAGTATATTATGGGTCCGTCTTTATTGTTTTACCACTCAACTATTTCTGCCGAGTGCTTGAACTGCCGTACTGCGGTCTGAATGTCACAGAGATCCAGTATAATAACTGACTGTAACGCATTCGGACGACGCACCTATAGCCTTTAAACAAAGTTTACCATGAGACGGACTTGAAGTTCGTTCGTGTTTAAAGTTAATAAAAACGTGTGTCTACAAGTTATTTAGATGGTGTTTTCTTAAGAACCTTAATGTTCTGTAATATTGTGTAGAATTTTTTCAAAGTTGTAGAGTTTTTTTTCTATGATTAATAAGTAAAGTGCAGTGGCTAATAATAGGTGTTCATGTGGTTCGGAGATCATCCTACTCTATGTAGAGTTACTTGATCGAAAATTCAAAAGTCCTTACAAATAACCTGATCTACATAGAATAATTCTGATAATAATAATAATAACTTTGTTTCATTTAGTATTTTATAATTTGCATAGTGTATGGAGCATCTTTTAAGTACCTTAGATGGCACTTGTATCAGAGATTCCCGCTCCTCTACAGCCATACAAAACTTTCTAGAAACATAAGATTACATATTATACAAAGAAGAAAAGTCACAGGGTCTTTAGCTAATTTATAATCAATAACTTGTAGTCCCTGCTGATATTTTGTTGCAAAAGTAATTAACGAGTTCTCAATCCGCACCGCAAAATCCACCTCTCACAATCAAAAACCTTCTGTATTAATGATTTCTTAAATTTACTCGAACACTACACATTGAATAAAACTATTATTTACGGGTTTTATCGCGTTTAATTACTTTAATTTATTTTTATTATTATCCCGACGTTTCGGGTGCTTTACAGCACCCATGGTCACGGGGGGGACTGAGATGTTTGACGTCCCAATGTCATTGTTAGCTCGGCTACCTTCAGTTTTTGAATATTAATTTTTGGTCCGATTTACGCAAAACGAACTTACAGTATCTTGAAGTCTTGCAGTGGTATGCTTGGGTTTGGGTTTAATTTTGTTAATTATAGGATCCCAAGCAGATGGCAGCACCCAACCATCTTCTCTATTGAAATTAGGATGTTTTTTAATTTCAATAGCCTCACGTATCATCCTTGGTAGGAATCGGTGTTCTTTTGCGAGGACTTGTGGTTTATCAAATCTGATGTAATGGTGGGGACGATCCTGAACATGTTCACAGACTGCAGACTTCCCGGAGCGTCGGTGCTTCACGTCAGCTATATGTTCTTTCACGCGGGTTTTTATGGATCTTTTTGTTTGACCTATGTAAGAGAGACCACATTCACAATCTAACTTGTACACTCCTGCATCTTGTAGAGGGATATTACATATTAAGAAGATTAGTCAATTTTTACCATCCGTCAAGTGTAATATCCCTCTACAAGATGCAGGAGCGTACAAGTTAGATTGTGAATGTGGTCTCTCTTACATAGGTAAACAAAAAAGATCCATAAAAACCCACGTGAAAGTACATATAGCTGACGTGAAGCACCGACGCTCCGGGAAGTCTGCAGTCTGTGAACATGTTCAGGATCGTCCCCACCATTACATCAGATTTGATAAACCACAAGTCCTTGCAAAAGAACACCGATTCCTACCAAGGATGATACGTGAGGCTATTGAAATTAAAAAACATCCTAATTTCAATAGAGAAGATGGTTGGGTGCTGCCATCTGCTTGGGATCCTATAATTAACAAAATTAAACCCAAACCCAAGTATACCACTGCAAGACTTCAAGATACTGTAAGTTCGTTTTGCGTAAATCGGACCAAAAATTAATATTCAAAAAACTGAAGGTAGCCGGGCTAACAATGACATTGGGACGTCAATTATCTCAGTCCCCCACGTGACCATGGGTGCTGTGAAGCACCCGAAACGTCGGGAAAATAATAAAAATAAATTAAAGTAATTAAACGCGATAAAATCCGTAAATAATAGTTTTATTCAATGTGTAGTGTTCGCGTAAATTTAAGAAATCATTATGTGAACCAGTACGGACTGGTAATAGCAAATAAAATTCGCCGATTAGAAGATCTTAAAACCAAGCGCGCAAGATATATAACATCTTTAAATTTCTTGAAGAGATGCAGAGACCATAATCTCATTCCTACGTGTGTCAAAATATCAACAAAAAAGGACATTCGAGGAAGCGCTAAGATCCTAAATCAGGCAAGTAAAAAGTTGTTACGAACGGTGATTCAGCAGAAACGGTTCGATTTACATTTCATAAACAACACCATAGACAATTTGTCCAGTGAACTAAAGACAGTTTTAACGACATTTGATTTTAATAATTGCATCGAAACTTTAAACAAACGAGAAACATCAAAATACAATGAATGCAAAAATAAACAAATAGAAAAATACCAAAAATTAACGATCAAATCAAATGACAACCATCTAAGTCAACATCAGAATGAAACACACCCGTTGACCACAGACGTAAACAACAAACAACGCACGGTCTATAATCTGTCAAAACATACACTGGACGAACCGACAATAAAGGTGTTAGCGAAGGGAATGAACTTCGCATTAACACCGCGAAAAATCCCGTACGAAGAAATTATCTGCAGTGTTGAGGATTGTCTGTTTAAGAATAATATCGGTAAGGAAGATTTGGAGGCTATACGTCAAGATATTTCGTCCTTGTTACGTCGTAGTACAGTGCCGAAACCAAACCTTCCTAAAGACGAATTTACAGCGTTGATTAACTTACGGAACAGACCAGAGTTAACGATTCTCCGCGCGGATAAAGGAAACGCTACGGTAATAATAGACACGTCAGAGTATAGTTTTAAAATACTACAGCTTTTATCGGATGAAAGTACATATAAAAAGAAACAGACCCCACAACTAACACTCTTAATGCAACTAGCGATTTAATAAAGAAATACTCCGAAAAATGAATTCTCGACGTGAATTCGCTAATACCATCCTGTACCAAACCACCGAGGTTGTATGAGTTACCGAAGATACACAAACCAAACGCTCCACTACGTCCTATAGTGAGTCAGATCGATTCACCAATTTATAAGCTGGCACAACACTTGGCAAAAATACTGGCACCACTGAGAGGACATACCAGAGCACACACAAAGGATTCATACCATTTTGTTAGTGAGATAAAAGACCTACATCTCGCTGACAATGAAACTATGGTCAGTTTTGATGTTCAGTCACTATTCACATGCCTACCTATTGAAGACTGCATCTCAATTGTAACTAGGAAGCTAGAAGATAACAACATGCCTGCTGAATATACAGTATTACTTAAACATTGCCTCACATCTGGCTATCTATTGTGGAAGGAAGAGTTCTACAAGCAAGTAGATGGTGTGGCGATGGGCTCACCTGTATCTCCCATAGTCGCCGACATATTCATGGAGGACTTCGAGGAGAAAGCCCTTCTTACTGCTCCTGTAAATCCAAGATTCTACAAGCGGTACGTAGACGACACTTTCACAATTTTACCATCTGACAAAGTAATTGCATTTTAGACCACCTTAACTCCATAAACTCTAAAATACAATTCACAATGGAGTTAGAGGCAAATAATTTTTTTAGCTTTCCTAGATGTTTTAGTCATTCGAAATCCTGATAACACTATTGGTCACACTGTGTATAGAAAAAAGACCCATACTAACCGATATTTAAATGGTGAATCTCACCATTATCCTTCACAGTTAGCTACCGTGGGTAAATCTTTGTTTCAGAGAGCACGAGGGATATGTAACAGAAAACATCTGGCCGCCAAACTTCAGTACGTCAAGCAAGTGTCGCAAGACAACAAGCTTCGGATCCCGCGCCTACGTCACAGTGACCGAGTGAAGCCGGCCACAGTCGAGCGTGTGCCTGCTGTACTACCATATGTCAGAGGAGTCACAGACAAGGTTGGCTACATCTTGAAGCGAGCTTCCATTAAAACATACTACAAGCCGCCGAAGAAGATTAGTCAATTTTTACCATCCGTCAAGTGTAATATCCCTTTACAAGATGCAGGAGTGTACAAGTTAGATTGTGAATGTAGTCTCTCTTACATAGGTCAAACAAAAAGATCCATAAAAACCCGCGTGAAAGAACATATAGCTGACGTGAAGCACCGACGCTCCGGGAAGTCTGCAGTCTG